GAAGGGGAAAAAAGAAAGGAAAAAATAAAAGAGATTAGATAAGAGAAGAAGAATAGAAAGTGATAGGAAGAAGAGGAGAGAAACAGTGTAATAAGAGTAAGTGAAAGAGGAGAAAAATAGGAAAGAAAGGTAGGGGAGAAAAGAGGGGGTAAAAAGAATGAATTGGGGGAAAACAAGTAGAATGAAAACGAAAAAGAAAGGAGGGGAAAGCAAAAGATTAAGGGGAAATGAGATAAGGATGAGAAGGAGCTCATAGAAACGGAGGGGGGGGTAAATTTGATTAATAAATTTAAATAAATAAATAAATAAAAATGTTATGGAAAAAACTGTTTTTCGTATGACAACATTGAATCCGCTCCTCTATAACAAAACGCATAAAAGTCAACATTAATTTTTTTTTTATTCCCCCTTATTGGATTGTAAAAACTAACATTGAAAAAAAAAAAATAATAATAATTTTTTTTTCTCATTTCCTATTTATTTTTTTGCGTGTCTTGGTTTTCCGAAAGTCTCAAATTTAATTTTTTTTTTGCGTAAAATAAAAAAAGAGAGAGAGAGAGAAAAAGAAAACTCAAAAAAAAAAAATTTTTAATTTATCATTTAAATTCTTACGTATAGCGCGCACATACAAACAAAAAAAAAACGATAACAACAAACAACAACCTTAAAACAATAAAAAAAAACAAAAACAAGTTTTCATTATTATTATTATCATTTATTGTATGAGAATCGCGGTGGTGTGACGCGGTTGCGAACCGTTGCGTTCGTTCGTTCGTTCGTTTTTTCGTTCGTTCGTTTCATTCAAAAATCGTTTTTAACAAAAGCGCGGGAGATTTTTAAACTTCGTATATACGACGAATAAGTTAGAGAAAATTCGAATCCTCGTAGGGAAAAATTTTCCAGTGGAAATTCGTTCTCTTATCGCGCGAACGTTTTTCTTTTTTTTTTTTTTTCTCTTCTCCATCATCGTCGTCGTTTTCGTCGTCGTCGGGAAAAACAAATTTCGGATTTTTATTACTAAATTTTCATGTGTTTGCTACATTTTTTTTTTTTTTTTTCTATGCATATAATGTAAAGAGATTATGTTCTTCGTAAAATGTTCAGTAAGTAAACATTTAATTTTTTTTTCCCCCGCCCCCCTTCTATGTCAACCCGTCACGACGCCATTATTATTTATTTATTTTATTTTTTTTTTTTTTATAAACGACCGTTAAAACCGTTCGAAATTAAACATTACATTTAAATTTTTTCTTTTTCTCCCACCGTAAGAAAAATTATTTTTTTGTTAAAAAAACATATTATCGATCCGTCAACTTATATGTATAATTTATGATTTAATTAAACGTTTAATTTATCGTATAAAAAACCTAAACGATTACGTAATTAAAATGACAAAGTATGGTTTTCTTATTTAAAAAAAAAAATAACCAATAACAATCGAAATCGTGTATATTAATCGTTTCTTTTGTTTTTTTCTTTTTTCTCCAGAATAATTTTATGGAATTTTTTTTTTACGTCATTATATTCAGATAACATATTATTAATCGATACGTATCTCAATGTTTAAAATTGATAATAATAATAATAATGATAATGATAATATTTTCACGTCATTTCCACGTGGGAAAACTTTTTTTTTTTTTTCCAATTAAACAAACATTTTCTCATTCGAATCGTTTGTTTTTTTAATTCTCTTCCACTCTCTCTTCCCCCCCTCTCTCTCTCTCGTCATTTTAATAGGTGGATAAAAAATTTACATTTTTCAACAACACACAAATTGAGAAAAATTTACAAAATCGAAACGAGATTAAAAAAAAAAAATTTTCCCGTTCAATATTCAAAACGACAAAACTTTTAATTACATTTCCCCCCCTCCCCGCCTACATAATTATCATAATTAATTATTATTATTATTAAAGGGTGAAAAAATCGATCATCATTCGTATCATTCGTCTCTTCCCCTAGCAAATAATAATAATAATGATTTTTATAAATATTAAAAAAATACGAACGAGATCGTAAATTTTTTTTTTTTTACATGCGTGCGCATAAATATTTAAAAAAAAGGAAAATTTTTAAAAGAAAAATAAAAATAAATAATTCAAATGTTGTATAGGAGGGAGGAGAGTACGAATCACAAAGATTACGATAAAACATTTTATCGATTTAAAATTGGTCCATGACACAGCATCCAATCGATGAGTAATAAATTACGTTGCAGTAAAAAAAAATGGTTTTATCCGTCGTAGTGTTTTTTTTTTTTTTTGTGTAATTAAAACCTTTTTCGATGATTTGCCACGTAAGTAAAAGACCAAACAAACAAACAAACAAACGTAAAAAGAAAAAAGAAATAAAATGAATGAGGAGTAGGAGGAAGGAAAGGAAGAAGGAGGGAAAATTTTTTTTTTTTTGATATAAAACTTAGTATAAGATAAAAAGTAAACTTGTTGTTGTTTGTTGTTTGTTGTTTCACAATTTTTATAAAGGTAATGGAATAAAAGTAAAAGGATAAAAAAAAAGGTTTTTGAAAGGTTTTTTTTTTTTTCCGGTTGATTGCTCTTTGGTTTAAGTACCGCAGCTATTTAAATTTCATTAATTATTTTTTGTTTTTACAGACAAAAAAAAAAAATTTTCTTAAAACGTTTCGTTCGAATTTATTACAAATAAAAAAAAAAAGGAAAAAAGGAAAAACTTTTCATCAAAAGGTTTTAATTTAATTTATATATTTTTTTTTGGATAAAACCTTTTTCCCCTTCCCACCTACCAACCCTTTCCCTTTTTTTCCCTCGCAAGCTAAACCAGCAGCCGCGAAGATTTTTCTCAGACTTTTCCGCCTTGAAAACCTCAACCGTCATCTCGCTTCAACTTATTTTCTTTTTTTTTTTTTTTTAAATTTGTTTTCTCCTGTAAGAAAATTCTTTTATATTTTTTTTTTTGTTCCAGAATAAAAGAATTTTTTTTACGACAAAACTCCAGACCGCAATATAATAATATTAATAAAATAAAAAAAAAATTACTCGACGAAAAGTCGTATTTAAATAATTAAAAAATTTTAAACGGCGGTTTCGATGACGTGTCGTCGGGTAAAATTGTTATTAAAAAAAAAATTTATCGGTTGAGAATGGAGCTATTATTATTATTAATAAATTTTTATTTTCTGTGTATTGAATAAACACGTTATCATTATTTTACTGATAACCTTTATATCGTTTTTCTTTGTTTAAAACATCCGCCGACGGAGTGCATAATAATAACGAAATTTCCTTTTTTTTGTTTCCGTTTTTTATATGCGTTAATTTTTTTAATAATTTTTTAATGAATGTAAAGAGGGGAAGAGAGAGAGAGAAAAAGAGAGATAAAAGAGAGAAAAAAAGAAAAAAGAAAGAGAGAATGAAGAAAAAAGAATGAGAAAAAAAGAAAAAGAAAAAATGATTCATAGAGAATGATATAGGAGAAGAGAGGCAAAGAGAGAAAAAGAGAGAGAGAGAGAGAGTAAGAGAAAGAAGAATAAAAAAAAAAAGAGAGAGAGGAAAACTGATATAGAAGAAGAAAGACAAAGAGAGAAAGAGACAGAGAGCAAGACAGAAGAAAAAGAAGATACAAAGAAAATGATACAAAAAAAGAGAGGTAAAGTAAGACAAAGAAAAAGAGGGAGTGTGAGAGTGAGAGAGAGAGAGAGAGAAAGGCAGAAGAAAAAGAAGATACAAAGAAAACGGTAAAGAAGCAGAGAGGTAAAGATGGAAATAGAGAGTGCGAGAGTGATAGAGAGAGAAAAAGAAAGTGTGTGTGTGTGTGAGAGAGTGGGTGTGGGTGTGTGTATGTGTGTGTGGGAGTGTGGGTGTGTGAGAGAGGATGGGGATGGGTGGGTGTGTGTGTGATAGGGAAAAAGAAGTAAAAGGAAAGAGAGAGAGAAAGATAGAGGAAAAAAAAAGAAAGGCAGTTACAATGAGAGACAAAAGGAAAAGAATGAGAGGAAAAAAAAAGAGGAATCATGTAAAAAAAAAAGAGAGAGAAAACATAAGAGGAAGAGGTAAAAAAACAGAAAAAAAAGAGAGATAAATCTCACGTAAAAAATTACTTAATCATTTTAATAAAAAAAAGAAAAAACGCGCGTTTCCTTCCAGACAGATAATTTATTCTTTTTAGTTTTAATAGCGAACACGATCTTAGATAATTTAAAAAAATTTCCCTTTTTTATTTTCTCCAGGATATCAAAAATAATAATAATAATACACGTGAAAAATTTTTCCTTTCCTTTTCTTCTTCTTCTTCTCATCCTTTTTCAATCGATAAATACTTTTTACCATTTCCTATCCTTTCATTATCATTATTATTATTCTTATTATTCACGTATAAGTAATAATATTTTACCAATTTATTTTTTAAAGAAAATAATTTTTATTATCATTATCATTAGTAATTTCTTTTTTTTATTCTCACAACTTTCAAAATCTTTCTAATTAAACAGAAATTTTATTTTTATTCGAATCGTGTTTTACTGGATAAAAAAAAAAGAAGGAAAATCCCTGGAACGTTTTTTTTTCTAAATTAAATTATTCTCTTTTAATTATTAATAAGAATAATAAAAATTTTTTTCTTTTTAAATTTGGCGCGTTTTTTTGTGTGTTTTCTTTCTTTCGTCTTCTGCTTGACGATTGAGAGTAGTAGACGGTTAAAACTTAAGATGATAACAACAAAAAACTTTTTATTAATTTAAAACAAATAAATTATATTAAAAAAATTTTTTTTTTTATTTTAATTATAACTTGTCGTGCTGCACATTTCTCCAGGAATTTGAAATATTTTTAATAAAGAAAATTTAAATCGTGATAACAAAGATAACGACAGAAAATGATGATGACGTCAACAAAAAAAAAAAAAATTTTCCTCGGTTATCCTTGTTTTGTAACAACTACTTCGTTTTCCCAAACAATCTCTTTTATATCATCGATTGTAAAAAATTATCATTATCATTATTATTATTATTTTTTTATTCCAGAATGTTATCAGAGACATTTGTTTGTTTTGATAATTTATTAAAGTTACCAAATGAAAAAATAATAAGAAAAAATAAAATCCTCGTCTTCTGCTTATTGATTATCATTTTATCGAAAAATGTCGTCGTCTCCTCACTTCCGGCAACTTTAAAAATAGGTAAGTTAATTATTAATTTTTTATTTTTTTTATTTTACGCGCCAAAATTTTACCCCACGTGATAAGAATTTTTCAATTAAATCCTTAATCGATATTTCAAATATCCGGCCGATAAAACGAGATTCGATATAATAGGAACGAATTAATGCCTGGAGAACTTGGAAAAAGAAACCGGGAATTTAAACGAAATAGTAATTAAAAATTTTTTTTTTGCGTTGGAAACATCATCATCATCATCATCATCGTCGTCGTCATCGTCATCGTCATCGTTATCATTATTATCATTACCGTGAAAAAAAATGTGAAAAATTTTTATTTTAATTTCCCGGACGAAACCTTCCCCTTAGAAAATCCTTAAAAAAATAAATAAATAAATAAACGACGAAAACTTTTAAATCCTCTAAATGAATTATTATTATTATTTTATCAACTGAGCATTATTTATCATCATTATTATTATCATTATTATTATACTATTATTATTATTTATTTATCGGTAAGAGAAAAATTAATTCGCACACGACGACGACTACTACGACGAGGGAAAAAATATCGCGAAAGTCAGAAAAACGATTTTCTTTAAAAAAAAAAAAAAATTTATTATCTAGAACCACGTCGTTTTTTTTATTATATTTTATTACCACGACCACCACCGCCTTTTTTAAAATGAATAATTTTTTTATCAAAAAATGACTGATAAACACATCATTTTCTTTCCGGAGAAAATTTTTTGGGTGTGATATGAAATCGTAGGAGAAAATGAGTGAGGAGGGGGAAGGGGGAGGGAAAATGGGCGGGGAGAATCGATGAGGTTGAGAAAGGGGATGTGAGTCGGTGGGGCGAGGTGAGAAATCCATATTGGTAAAAAAAAATAACAAACGGTTAATAAGAAGAATAATGGGATGAGGTAAAGAATATGAAAAGTGGTGGGGATGGAGACGATGGTAGGGGTGAAAAATGGTGGGGATGAAAATTAAAAAAAAAAAAAGGAAATCGTTTGAATTAATTTATTTCATTGAATTATTATTATTATCCACCATTAAACACGACAAGGCTACTTGTCGGAGTTTTTAAGTATTTATCCGAGGTTTCTACCCGATTCCTTAGGGACAAATACTCGAATTTCGGTGGTGCCACTTATTAT